CACGATAAAAATAATTATTAATTGGGATAAATTAATATATTATTTTGAAAACGAAATTTCATTTGGGGCAGCCTGGTCGTTGCCAATTATAAATCGATATTTCACTGATGTTAGATTTATATTTATTATTTTCTAACTATCTTTCTAACACACATAATTTTTAAGGGAATGTTAGAGGATAAGGTTAAATTAAACGTTCTTTAAATTAAGTGTTCTTTGGGTATCAAATTGGTTATTATAATTTTTTTTAGATTAGTAACCCTAGTTGCTATTAAGTGGTTTATTACAAAAATTGCTTTTCTTTATAACTGTTCAAGTAAAATGTTCTCTGTTTGATTTATATTTGCTACTAAGTCTCCGAGTTTGTACAATTTGTTTTTTTCTTTATTATAAAGTGTACATAAGCAATAAATGTTCTCTTGGTTGTTGTAAGTTTATAAGATTATTTGGAGATCATGAGATACGGTCGGGTGTAACGTAGGTTTAGAAAAACATTTTTTTAATGGTGCCAACGTTTCGATCTTTATTAAGAACATCTTCAGGCCTGAAATTTATAAACATTGTTTAAATTATACAAGTACGTGTAGTATGTGAACAAAACTTTATTTATATAATGATAGACATTTTAGACTCAATCAAAAGATTTGTACTCACCCAAGTGTTTGTTTTCTGGGTAAATGTGTCATTACTGAGTGTCGTGTTGAGAGTGCCAGTGTGATATTGATGTTTTATGTTTATATACGTTGGATTTTTGAAGGGATGGGGAGGGAAGTAGGGAATAGAAAGACTTTTTTATATGAGAAGTCGGCTTCTTTGAAACTGGGAAAAAATGGTTAATGGTTAGGCCTGATTATGCTTTCAGAAATACATAGACGGGAATAATTATGGAAAGAAAAGCCGAATTGTTCAAGAATTAGACTATGTAGAAATGTTTGATATATGTTATATGTGATGTAATGATGATATATGTATGTTATCTATATTGAATTTGATTAATAATATTAGCGTAGCTGCTACTGAGTTTATATGTCTCTAGTCTGTAATTCATGCTGTGTTTATCTCAGTTGATGTAAACCATTTCTAAAAAGTTTTTATTATTGTTCTGTTCTGTGTGTAATATTTTTGGATTGTTGGAGTTGAAATGGTGGGTAGCCAGTGTTATAGGATTTTGTTTGTAGTTTTACCCTTTATCCAGATATTGGGAGGAAATTCCGATGTAAGTTGCCGGACAATTTGTACAATTGATTTTGTAAATTATTTCAGACTTATTTGTTACTGGTGGGATCTTTAATTTTGGAAACACGTGTGTGAATTGAAAGCTATGTTAAAATAATCAGAAGTGACAGAAGTGTGTTTAATTTATGTGATAGGCCGTGAATGAATAGCATGGAAATGGAATGTATGTTGATTTGTCTGTATGTGATAGATTTGATGTAGTATTATTAGTAATTATGGATGGTGTTAGTGTTGAGTTGTAATTGCTGATTATTCTGTTGATTATGTGTTTAGGGTAGTGATTGTTATGGAGGATCAATTTGTATATCTTTATGTTCTTGTGGTGAAAAGATCATGGCTCAGGGTAATAATTCTGCGAAGTAGCCCAGTAGCTCATTGGCCGTGATTATTATGAAGGGGATGGTGTGATGAAAAATTGAGCGATCTATGTTTCTAGGTTTTTGATACCAATCTGGGATTATGTGCTATCTGATTGTTTTATCAAGAGTGTATCTAAAAATGGTATTTTTTGTTGTTGTTTCGATGATCTTATGATCTTGTAATGAAAAGATTCATGGTTTAGGGTAATAATTCTGTGAAGTAACTCTTTGGCCGTGTTTATTATTGTATGAAGAGGATGGTGTGATGTAAAGTTGAGGTAGCTATTTGTGTTTCTTGGTTTTTGATATCAATCTATGATTAATGTGTACACAACACATAAGTTTATCAGGTTGACTTTGTCCACATCCCTGATAACAACCAAGAGAACTGCATACGTCATAATCAGCATAAGTTGGTCGATAAATGTACAACACATCATCAATAAAAGACAAACTTATGATTCTTATAATCTGTGGGATGATGAACCTGTAGTTTGGTGTTTCCTGATTATTTGGTCCACCTTTTTCGCTGTTTTGCTCTGTCAGACAAGCCCAAGCAAAAAAATATCCCCATTTTGTGTTGGTTTCAGTATAAAAATTTGATAAGATTTTCAGAGGTGCGCATGTCAAATTAAATCGGCTAGTTTACAGTTACGGGCATGGGACTTATTCGGTGATATTAATCCGGACGCCTCCGGCCGCGGGGCTACCGACCGGTAGCCGAAGCCTTTAATCATGTCTCCTCGAGGCAATTTACAAGCGGTTTGATGGGACTCTATGGTATTCCATCATTAAGGCCGACGGAGGCTGATGGGCCTTGTTACCAAGGTAACAATCAGACTTCTGACGACGTGGCTTACCCGTCATTTTTGACCTCGGACCTCGGCCCGAGCGGCGGAACACGGACGATTCCGGTTTTACACCTTACAACCTTCAGCCGGCCGCAGATCGGTGGCCAATTTATTAAACTTGCACAGATTAGCCGAGAACGACACGACCGGTTATGTCATTGAACGCTTTCTTCATTACGAAGTTCAAAAAAACCATCTGTTTATCATTTAAGCAATTTCCAAAACAGAATTTTTTTAAAAACCTATATTTAGATTAATTAGAGAAATTACAAGGCGGTTTGCAAATAGACAAACTGAACATAGTTAATGTATGAAAGACAATTTTTTTCTGTCTCGCTGTTTTTTTATCAAATGACTCCCGGCTTAATCTTCATTACACGTCCACGTTCCCACTACGTAACGTCAAATTAATCAATGTTGGCCAAGTGTTATGCGACTAGGTGACACCAAGTCCTTAATTTACACTCTTACAAGATTGGATTGACCTGCGCAATCCTTTTGAAGTGCTAATTTTAAAACGCGTTAAGATTTATTTATGAAATCGGGTGTTCCTGACTATGCTCAGTAGTTTGATCACAATTAGCCAGTTAGTTTTGAATTTATCTCACTCTCGGATCAATTAGAACGATTATAATTGCAGTTGATCGTCGGCCTAGAAATATTTCAACCAGTAGATCGACTTATTTGAATGAACGCGTCGATTATATATTGACCAAGGCGCAAAAAGCGAGAAAATCCGGACCAGAAATGTTCAAATCCGATCAGGCCTGTCAAATTAAATCTGCTAAAATTAACCTAAATTGTCTAGCATGCAAAATTACTCTTTCTCAAAATTTAGTTTACAATTAGGCAAAAAAATTCTTAAATAAGGAGTGTGGTTGAAATAATTCTTCCACGATAGGTTTAGTCTTTCAGGAAGCAACTGTAAACCATGAAAATTCTCTATTTAGGTTTAAACCAAGCCAGGATTAATGATAACTTAACATAATTAAATGAGGCAATCAAGCTAGATATAATTGTGCATATTATTAGATAAAAATGATGGGCCTAAAAATATAAACACTTCAATTTACTGAATATATCCTAAAAATAGTTTCTCTCCTTTAGTTTCTAAAACAAACTTTTTTATTATAAAATTGTAAAGTGTATTATTCGCGGAATGTAAAATGTTAAAAAGCCATGAACATCCTGGGCTGGGTTTGTAAAAATGCCAGATTTCTGATTTAAAAAATATGAAATAAATAAAAAGTTTTTCCTCTATAATTTATATACCTCCACGATTCCTAATGAAGGAGAGGGTAGTGCCTCAAATAAAATCATCGGTCAAGATCAAAAGAGGCAGTTTAAATCCCTAAGCCGGACAGCGGCTCAAAAGATTTTCATAATCCAGTAAAATAAAACCCAAATGAATGGTAGATTTTATATCTGAGAGTCCTTCTTTTAAGAATGTAGGTATAAAAATTTGTAAAACAAAGACAAAATATAGAAGAGAATGGAATTTGTTTTAGGGGGACCGCGGTAGCCGAGTGGTTAGCATGAGTGGAATTTGCCAAATCATCTCACAATGGATGACTAAAAATACTTGGATTTTGAAAAGTCAAGCTTAAAAATCAAGCTTGTCTATGATATGAAATAACAGAATATTTGATTTTTAAAATATCCTGCCTAAATTAAACTTATAATAAAGATAAGGCGAAGGTCGTGGGATCGAATTCTGCTCGTTACACGTTTTCATCTCAAACAAGACCTTACATAAAAAGAATTACTTAGAATATTTATTTAGAAATCGTGAGATGCGGTCTTGTGTGATGTAGGTTTCAGAAAAACATTTTCTTTATCGTGCGACGTTTCGATCTTTACTGAGATCATCTTCAGGGCCTGGGATTTACAAACATTGTTTATATATTACATTTTGGATATGGAATCATCTCACGATTTCTAAATAAATATCGATTAACGGTCACTAATCACCACACATTACTTAGAATAGAAATTGATTGAAAGAAGTAATTTGGTCAATTATGCCACATAAATGGATTTGTAAATAAATATAAGATTAGAAGGGAAAAAATTTGGTTTTAATTTACTTTTGAATTATACATTATTATAATTGTACGGTAAGATTAGCCAAAAAAATAGAAAACTACAGAGGCCAACCACTGAAAATTGCAAGAGGCCGAATCGCAAGTGACAAACCAAAACAGAAAGGATAGACAGACCAAAATGAACGGAAAACAAAACAAAATACTGAAGCGGATTGTGCTATATGTAACTAATCTTAAAATATTTTTGACTTAAAAATCACACTTATCCTATTTTTATTTATAATATATCCTCCCAAAAGTTTCATATTATCCCGCTTAAATCCGGACAAAATGTACACAAATATCCAAAGACAAAAATAGCTAGTACCGTCGTTTTCACTGCAATGTATTACATTCATTCTGATTGACCCGTGATTATCAAAATAAAGAAAAATTAAAGAAGAAGAATCATTAATATAGTGTTAGCTGTCCGGTTTGCGATATCACTGGCCTATCAATGTTTGTGTTGATTCGAAAGCAAAGTATTAGTCGGTAGCATTAATCCGTCGGCCGGCGGTAAATATGGTCAACATACCTTGAGATTCTCCGTTTAACTCTTCGAAAGTTTTAGAAGTCATCTGGAACAGAGCGTCGAGGGGCGAGGTGTCGTTTTTGCCTCCTTTCCTCTGTTGTTGGGCCTGTGGCCTCCGCGGGCTGACGATATCGGGCGAGGTACAGCAGTCGGATCCGGCGGTCGAGGACCTCCCGGAAGAGCAGGTTTCGTAAAGTTCGGCGGACTTGGGCCTAGAAGCCGGAAGGCGGTAAAGCAGTGGCGGGGGCGGCAAAAGCCCCCTGTGAGCCGGGGGCGGGAGGCACGAGGAGCCCTCGGCCCTCCCGAAGTCCCACGGCCGGACGATCCGAGTCTCCCGAGCCGGCCTATGGTTCAGTATGTCCAAGATGGAAAAGCTCTTGACACCGGCCTGCTCGTCCGGCAGGCTCTGCCTCCTGGGTCTTATCCTTTTAGTCTTCTTCCCGGGCATCGAGTAGCTGACCTGCTCGATCTGCATCATTTTCAACCGTTTCAGAGGTTTGAAATAATCGTCCTGTCTGTCCTCTTCCGAGCTCCTCGATCTGTCTTCTTCCGACTCGGAGTATTTCTGGGCAGGGGACGGGCAGCCTACGCTTATCTCGTCTTCGGATCGTTCCTCCCTTTCCCTGAAGAGACCTTCTTCTGCCGCCATATTCACCATTTCGAGTACATAACGCGCGCGCTTCTCTTACTAGACTAAGCGCTTCCTTCGTGCTTCTGCTTCTGAGAGGGGGAGGCCACGCCTTCGGAGGCGTGCTGTTTACCCTGGGTCACGCCTACGCCAATCCCCACCGCAAAGGGGACATCAAAGAAGCCGACGTTCCCCTTCCAGCAAACAAGTAATAGACCTTTCGTTTATTACCACGGCCAAATTGACGACCCTTATTACCAGTTACAATCCCTCTATTGTCAATCTCCTTAACCACATCCTTTTCCCCCGATCGTCCTCTGACCCGAACCGCCGTTCCTTTTTATCGGCAACCGACAACGTCTACACCTTGAAAATACGATTTCTGACATCTGGTCCGCCTACCCTACATGTTTTCAAGAAAAATATTTTTCCTTTTAAATCCTTGATGTAAGGTGATCGATCAGCTGTTATTTGGTAGGATCGGGGATGTGGTCCAATGAATGTTCTGGTGTTGAAACTAAGCCAAGCATTCTGTGTATTATTTCACTTTCCTAAGGGCTCTACAACGGATACATATGCATATAATATTTTATAATTGCTCATCTGTGTAAGTCAGAAAGTAAATCAGAAATCAACTTTTTTATAACTTACAGATCCAAGGTTCAGGTTGATCAGCTCAACATTTCCCAGATCGTTACATCTTTCAATATTTCAATTTTTCATTTAGGTACTGTGGAAAAAAAAACCAAGTACCAAAAAAAGTTTAAACTTTAAAAATATTCCAATTAATTATTCTTTTTATCTAAGGTTTTTGGTTGTGATGAAAAAATAGTGTCACGAGCTGGATTCGAACCCACGACCTTCAGCTCAATGCGTCGATGTTCTAACCACTTTACACATGACATCCACAAAACCAGCGATGTATTGAGCCGAAGGCCGTGGGTTCGAATCCCGCTCGTGTCACTTTTTTTCATCACAACCAAAAACCTTAGATAAAAAGAATAATTAATTGAAATAATTAATAAGCTCAATTTGATCTCTAAGCAAATATGGATTAATTTATACAAATATTCTTATATTTTATTATTGATAGGGTTGGATTTATTAACGATCAAAGAAAAATATGACTAAATTAGATCAATTTAAATTCATAAATATGTATTAAATGAAAAGCATCTCTACTTATGCAAAACATATCTCTTTATCATTCTTGCAATTAAATATTTCCTATCTTTTTTGTTATGTGTGGTGTTTAGTGACCATTAGTTAATGATTATTTGGAGATCGTGAGATGCGGTCTGATGTGACATAGGTTTTAGAAAAACATTTTCTTTATCGTGCCAACGTTTCGATCTTCATTGAGATCATTTTCAGGGCTCAAAGTGTTTGTTTTCTGTGTAGTTGTGTCATTCTTTTGTGTTGAGAGTGCACTTGTGTCGTGCTTTTTTTTATTATCAATATTTTTTTATTAAAAAAGAAAATTAATAATAATCGACCGAACGTTTTTTATCTTCACAATTGTTAATAAATAAATAACTCTTGAATGTGTAGAGATTAGTGACCGTTAATCGATAGTTTTTCAGATATCGTTAGATGCGGTCGGGTGTGATGTAGGTTTCATTTCCAAAAAAAAATGTTTTTCTGAAACCTACATCACACCCGACCGCATCTCACGATATCTGAATAACTAACTCTTGAATGAAGAAACCTGAAGGAATAAAAAAGTCATTCACCTGTTTTCCATCAATACAACACGTTAATCACATACAAGAATAAATCAGTATTAAAATAATCTGATAAGAACAGTGTAAATAAATATATAAAATGATATTAAAATTTGTAACATTTGGCTGATCAAAACGATCAAGTCGTCAAAATATTTTTCTCACCAAAATATAATAAACACTTATAAAATTTATAAATGCAATAAATACACAGGAAGAAAATATTACGCCTTACGGAAAGTTCATCTCAGACATGATCCCATTTGCAAATCGCAAAACAATAAAAAAATCAATAAACACTTTTTTCCTTTTTTTGAGTTATAGATGGGTAAAAATAAAAGTTTATTTTTTATTACAAAAAGGTATTATTTACAACAAATTAATAGATTATGGTCAATCAACAGATTGTGAGGTAGTTTTAGATTATTTTTGAAGGCGAAATAATAAAAACAACATATAATAAAATACAATCAAACACTCGAGACCTATGAATCCAACTTAATTGAAAAATGTCATTTCTTGTGTCTATATGGTGAGCATGAAGGAGTGCCATCCAAATGACTGCTCAGAACTGCTGTTTTATTGTATATAGTAATACTTTGTAGATTCTCATTTAGTGTTTTTTTTGTGAATATTTAGAACGAATGTATTTATAAGAGTGAAAGTATAATGTCAGAGAGCCGTGGGTTATTGAGTAACCCACAGACCTTTCAGTTATTATATTCACCTATTATGTGTAAAGACGTGATGGAGGAATATCAAGTACTCCACCACCCTAGTTGAGTAAATGTAAGTAGGAAAGAATGTATTAAGTATGAGTGAGAGTGAGTCGAGATTTAAAAACGGCATTCTTTAGGGGCTGAACGGATAAGACCGAGGTCTGAGCTATTATACAACTAACCGATGGTCGATGGGTACTCAGTATTCCGCCACCGTCGTATTACAATATATATTCACGCCAATAAATACATTCACAGTCAACACACGCTAGGTGCACAAACCTATCTGTACTTTACAAGACCAAGCAACCCTGTTTCCTCCAAAAATAGGAACGGGAACCGCTTATTCTCATATCGAGTGGCACTAAGCGCTCTCTATAAGGAGCCAACGAATTGCATCATTCAATTAGGTGGGAAACTTTCACTAAATATTAGACACATACACCGGCTTTGGCCTAAAGGAAGTGTCCTTGTGTCAACCTCGCATGGCCTATTGTTAATCGGGTGAGGATGACCCTTCTTCTTCGCTCATGTCCTTCGTTACAGTTAAAAGTAAAAGGATAATGTCTAAATATTAAAAAAAATCACAATAGCTATTTCAACATTAGTCCAGTAAGACATGCTGTGTTACTTACACAAGATTTTTTTTCGCAATCTGATCAACGTCGTTATTTATGTACAAGTGTCTTGGTTATTATAAATAAAAATAGATAAAACGAAAAAAGGAGGAAAAAGTATAGTATAATAAAATATGTAACGTGATTGATAAACGGAAGCATTATTAAGCAGAGATTTTTTCTGGTGTTATGTTTCAGATTCGAGTTTGTCTAACTGCGATCGACTTTTGATCAGCCCATCATTCCTTTTTTTTAAAAGCAGTTTTGGTTTTTCATCCTTTTGTCAAAATCTGCTGTTGTGTGTCATAAATCTTAGTTAGTAGCTGTTAATTTGAATCAACAATCGATCTTTCGTCTAAAGTGTATGGTCCGCGTAACCCCACTGTTTGTCTAACTGGATGGAGAAGTTGACTTGAAAACAAAGAGGATTCCAAATGAGTTATGTACAAACCAGTTTGTACAGTCATCGCGCTCACACCCATTCGCACTTTCGTAAAAAAAAAAAGAACAATCGACCATTTCAACTAAATGTTTACATGTACTTCTCAGAAGGCGCCATCTGTAGGTATAATTCGCAGGTCAACAATTGTAACCGCCACATCCGGAATTGCCGAAAATGTGAATCATGTCCGTAGATTGTCAAGAGATGACAGACGTTTTATCGAGGGAGAAAGCAAAGCACCTTTTCAGATCGTCAACCCAGAAATAAAAATTGCTGTTTGGTCAATAAAATAGTAAAAACTCTCATCATTATGATTATTTGGAGATCGTGAAGTGCGGTCTGGTAGGACTTAGATTTAGAAAAACATTTTCTTTTTCGTGCCAACGTTCGATCTTTATTGAGATCATCTTCAGGGCCTGGGATTTATAAACATTGTTTAAATTTTACAAATACATGTTGGATGTGGAAAAAATTAATTTTTACAATGCTAGAAAATTTTAGATTAAAAAAAATTAATTTATACAATGCTAGAACATTTTAGTTTAAAAAAAAGAATGAATTCATACAATGCTAGAAAAAAATAATATTATAATAAAATTTTCTAGCATTGTATAAATTCATTTTTTTTCACATCCTATATGTAAAATTTAAACAATGTTTATAAATCCCAGGACCTGAATATGATCTCACTAAAGATCGAAACGTCGGCACAATAAAGAAAATGTTTTTCTAAACCTACGTCACACCAGACCGCACCTCACGATCTCCAAATAATCATCGGCTAACGGTCACTAAACCCCACACATTTCTCATCATTTTCTTGAGCTGATTGATTTCAGCCTTTATGTTTTACTAGAGTATAAATAATAATGGATAAGGCGAATTTTAAATAATGAAAATACACTCAGTTCTTTCGTCAAGCTTTCGAAAAATATACCACCTTCATCAGGACTTAGAAACTATTTCTAATGATTTACACAGTTAACAAATATAAACATCTAATTCCAATATTATGAATTATGAGTTGAATTATGTTGAAATTTTTAATATTGTAAGTAGAAGCTTATATTTGTTGAATGGGATTTCGTTAAATCCAGATACGATGAAACTACTTATTCCTCTATAAGATTTTCTTAATAATGGGAAATATGAAAAAAGTATTTTATTCTATTTATTTACGTCTATTATTTATCTCACTTACTTATGATTTTAAAAAACCTGGATAGGAAAATCCGACAAAACCTGGATAAATTTAAGAGAAACTTATTCAGCAATTGTAGTTTGATTTGAAAAACTAAGGCAGATAGTTAAATTTTAGCTGAAAAATTATATTAGTTTTAAAATAACTAAAAGCTTGTTTAACAAAAATCAGTATAAAAAAGTATTTAAAATTACAGGATAGGTTGGTCGTCGATCTCGTTCCTCTAATAAGCTCAACTCATTAATTAGTTATGGTTGAAGCCATAATTTTTAATACTGTGAGTAGATATTTACATTTGTCAACCGTGTAATTCATTAGAAATAGTTTCAAAGTTCTGATTCGTCGAAAGTTTGACGAAGGAACAAGTATTTTTATTTTTTTCCTTGTTCCTTAATTTTTATATACCAAACATATTATCCACTTGCTTGTAACATGGTACATAGTAAGA